CTTTGTCAGGGCAACGTTTAGTTGCAGCTGCAGATGGAGTATTAACCACAAAGATCTATGGGTTTAGGTCAAACACAGCCCCACGCAGGCAGCTATGGTCCTGCCTGGTCCTGCAGAACCTCCTGCCTTTAAAAGACTTCCACATCCATAATTACAGAATACCCAGTTTTTCTGTCTCTGAAACTGCTCGTTCGGCTACCTAGAATATGACTAAAATCTCATGTATTTGTATTGTGGTAGCTGTAGGTTAATGTCCTGCCTAAATTATCAAATGTTATTAGAACCCCAGACAATTGCTTAATAAAAATTTAATCATATTGTAACTTCTAATCATCATTAAAGATGCCTAACAAGTTAATCTCTTTATTGTGCTCCCCTAACATCCTGGAGCAGAAAGTCAGGTGGCACAAGACAGCACAGCTTCACCAATACTAATAGAGCTATTTTCATTTACTTCAACTGATGATCCAGACCCAAAAGAAAAAAGAAAAAGAAAGCAGTCTTAAAATCTGCCTTTTTTTTTTTTCCCCCTCTTTTGGTCTGGACTGTTTTGCAGTTACTCCAAAAAAAATAACAAAAGCAACAGACAATCATATTTAAAAAATGCAGCGTAAATCAAGATATTTCATACAGTTTCATTGACTGCTGTCCTTGGTAGAGCAAGCACAGTGCTACAATACAGGTTGAGGGGGTACCCTTCTCGTCTCTTCACAGCCCCAAAACTCCTCATTTTGACTTTGTCCAAGCTTAGCTACATTTGTCTGACAGCAACGTTCTCACGCTGAGAACGTGGGAGGATCATTAACAGCAAATTTGCTTTTCAGCTCAAATCTGTTCCAAGTGCCTGGAGAGGAAGGATGCTCTGTAACCTCAACCCCGCAGACGTGTGTATCGGTTCACTTCAGGAAACGCCACATCTCCTCATCCTTGCGCTGGTCTGGCAGTCTGTGTTTAAGAGAGTCTGAGGACCACACTGTAAATCAGCTTTAACAGTAGCAAATCTCAGCCCAGTGATGCCTACATCAGCACACTCAGCTCCTGCTTCCCTCAGGTGTTTAATGCCACACCAATAACTCCATGTACTGCACCTCAAATCCACAAGATGAGTATTTATTTCTAGCCTATTTCTGTATTTCTAGGCTCACAGGTTAGAGCTCTGTTGCACTGCTCTGAGGATGCTCTACGATGCCTCCATAGCACATCTCCCACAACCACATTTTTCTGTGACACCAGGCCAACACAGAAGGTGGACAAGGTCCAATGCAGTGGCTTTCCTGTAATTCAGTGGGTTCAGCAAACATCTCTAAGGGTCATGGCTATTCCTCTAGCACATAGCTTGGAAGAGCAGATAGGAGCAAAGCAACCCGGATCCAAGCCAAAGGCAGCAGTTTCTCTTCCACTTTGCTGGCATAACAGCTCACTTACTTCAGTTATGCATGTGTGCAATGAGATTCTGTTATCATACATGACATTGTTGCCTAGAAGCCAAATTGTATCCACTAAATAACCTCTCATTGAATTGTTTGCCATTCAATATGCAGAACTTGGATATTAAAACTTAATGTGGTCTGGTCTTGCTCACTTCATTGGCACTCACTGAACCAAACTAATTGTGCCCATCATTACACCTGCTTCAGCACGACAACTCACAGGAGTAAGCACAGCAGGATTTAATTTAAAGAACAACCTTTAAACATCGGTCCTCATTTACTCCAACACGTCCCCAGCTGACAGAAATGAATCTGACTGTATGAAAAACAACAAAACACGGCCACACATTAAAACAACTAAAAACTGCAGTCTACTGATGGCAAAAATATTCTTCATATTGGTACTGAACGCAGTGAATTTTAGCATTAGATACTGAACGTTGACCAAAGAACATCTCCAGAACACAGACTCCTGTGCTTCATACAAACCTATTTTATTTGGCCATGCACATGTGGCCCCAAAGGCAGGTGTTGCATCTCACAGACACATGGCGAACGCCACCTCCAGGAACGACCGCCCCCATGAGAAATCCAAGGGGGAAACTTTGGCAGGTTACTTCTCTTTAGAAACGGGCTGCCTGCAGGAAGCATTTATTGCATCTTTTGGGAAACAAAACCCCCAACACAGCACAGAGCCCACGCGGGCTCGGGGGTGGTTTCGAGGCGCTGCGCGAGGCCGCGCGAGGCGTCGTGAAGGCGGCTGC